GCAATGAGGTAGGGCTGGGCCAGAAAGGTGTCCCTGCAACTGTCCCCCAGTGCTCCAGGCTGAGGGGTGTTTGGGGGAGCAAGGTCTGGCACTCGGTGGCACAGGTGCGGTTTGGCCACCTGCATAAGATGGGTGTGTTGGGTGGGAGACCCTGTGGGGTCCTTTCTGGTTCTAAACAGCTCCTTGCTCTGTCTCTGCAGGTGGTGGTCAATTTCCTATCTGGCCAATCACCACTTCGGGTAAGATGGATGGTCACTATGCTGCCACCTGGTCGAGGGTCTGGTGCTGGGGCTGGGGCCATGATCTTGTCAACCCAGGTGTTTCCAGTGTGCCTCAGTCTCCCCTTCTCTACACGGGAGATGCTGTGTGGGTTATGCCGTCAGCCTCTCAGGTCGGAGGGTCCTAGCACGCCCTGGCTGTGTGACAGTGGGCAGATCATTCAACTTAAGGAGACCCTGTCTCAAAATAAAACATAAAAAGGGCTGGGGATGTGGCTCAGTGGTAGAGTGGCCCTGGGTTCAGTCCCCAGTATGAAAGAAGTTGGTTAAGGAGGCAACAAGAGGACTGCTGCCAGACCACCCCTCCTTCCTGGTGGTGCCACCCACCTGACCAAGTCTCCCTCCTGTGCTCCCACAGAAAAAGGTGCAGTGCATCAACACAGATGGCCTCTCCTTCCGGCTGGGCCTCTACCTCAGCCCACACTTCCTCCAGGCCTCCAGCACCATCGAGCTGGGGCAGCAGGGCTTTGTGCAGGTATTAGGTGGGCCCAGTTACTCCCCAAGTCCTCGGGATTCCTAGGACTTCCGTGCCTTTCTTTCCAACATTGCTACAGAAAAGACCAGAATTAAACTTCCAGAGGAGGGAGCTGGCCTGAGGGCTTGGGAGGGACAGATAGGGATGGTACTGTTCTCAGTCACTGATTAGATGTCACCCTTCTATTTGCTCCAGGCAGACCCTGTCTGTCCTACTGTGAGGATTCAGGGGTGGGAACTCTGCCTTCTGGCTATTTCCAAAGAACAGAGGTGGAGGGTCAAGAAGAGCTGCCCACACCCTTCCCCCCACCTCTCCATGCAGGTGGGCATGTCCCCATTGATCCCTGAGGTCGTGCTTCAGCTGGACAGCTGCCACCTAGACTTGGGGCCTGAGGCAGACACCGTGGAACTCATCCAGGGCCGGGCAGCCAAGGGCAGCTGTGTGAGCATGCTGTCCCCCAGCCCTGAGGGTGACCTACGCTTCAGCTTTCTCCTCCGTGTCTACATGGTGCCCACACCCACAGCTGGCACCCTCAGTTGCACTGTGGCCCTGCGTCCCAGGACCTGGTCCCAGGTGAGTGGAGCCTGGTCCAGGCCCGGCTTCAACAGTGGCTTCCAGCTCTGGCAGGGATGTGGCTGTCCAGGGGGATGTGGGACCAGCTGGTGAGGGGCAGAGCCAGAGTCATGCTTGTGGTCTGACAGCCGGGCTCTGGGGGCATTTGCTGCCACCTACAGCCTTCTGGTGGGATCGCTTTGTCTTGGGCAGAATCTGCAGCTCCAGCTTCCATCTATCCATTTTCCTTCTGTCCGCAGGTCCATTCATCAATAATCCCACTGTCCCACCCAGACTCCTGTCCTTCCCCCAGCAATCTACCCACCCATGTGGTATGATCACCAAAGTGATCCCAATGGACGGGGCCCTAGGAAAGGAGGACAGAAAATCCTCACTTTCTGCCTTTGCTGGTGCCAACGCTTCATGGTCCAGTGAATCTTTGCTCTCAGGCACTCAGTGCTGGACATGTTTTCAGGGTCACCCCAGCTCTTTACGTGGAAAGTTCCTCACTATCAAAAACTGCTCTGGTTGTATGAGGCTGGGGGGCCTTTGGGGCTGCACCTAAGTGGGCCTTTCCCTCTGGCCAGCAAGCCTGGGCCTCCGAGCTGCTCATTGCCTGGCTCATCGAGGTGTGTGCAAGGGTAATGGGCGCCCCACAGTGCCCACAGGCGTCAGGGGCTGCAGGGACTCATAGGAAAGTCCCTGGCAGGACTGTGGCTTGATGCCATCCCCCAGCAGATCCCCAGGCTCGCCTGCCAGCTCCCAGCTGGACAATAGTGGAGGCAGGACTCACAGTCAGGGCTTTAGGCTGGGCTGTGACAGCCAGGGGCGCAGAGCCAGGGAGAGAAGGACGCTGCCTCCCAAAGCTTGTGCCACACTTCTCTCTCCCCTCCCCCTCAGGAAGTCCACAAGACTGTCTCCATGCGCCTGAGCATCGTCAGCCCTGGCCCGCCTGGTGAGTGAGTTCCCCTGGGTCTCTCTGAGGTTTGCTTGGTTAGCTGAGTGGGAATCAGGGGACAGCTGAAGGATCTCAGGTGAGAAGCCCCAGAAAGGGGCAGAGTCCCCAGAGTCCCAGTGGCCGGAATAGCACACTGTAGGCTGCATCTTTTTTTTTTTTTTTTTTTTAAGATATGTATTTATTTATTTTTCGGTGGACACAACATCTTTGTTTGTATGTGGTGCTGAGGATCGAACCCGGGCCGCACGCATGCCAGGCGAGCGCGCTACCACTTGAGCCACATCCCCAGCCCCAGTAGGCTGCATCTTGATGGAGCCTCTGCTGTGACCACCCTGTGGAACAACACTGCAGGCCTCTGGCTCCTGCCCAGGGCTCTTCTCCACCCCCTTGGTCACTGGCTAACCTTGCGGAGGGGCAGGGCCTGCTGGATGGAACATGAGGCACTGTGAGGGGTACTGGCTTTCTTGCTTCCTTGAGGCCCCCAGTGTGGGAGACGCCTCTTCAGTCCAGTGCCCTCCAGTTTCTTCACTAGCTCCCCCAGAGGTGGCAGGCACCTGTCATCCAGGAAGGGTGGCCCCCCAACCCACAGCCAGGACCAAAAAAGCAGGGCAAATGCTCCCCTGCACAGATGGAAAATCAGAGGCTCGAGTGGAGGCTGCCTGGCCTGTGGTCACAGGAGACAGGAGGGTGGAAGGACTGAGGCTTGGGACAACTCCGGCAGAGCTGAAGTGCCCTGGGAGGTGCTCTGGCCTGTTCCTAGCTGGCATGTGGGCTCAGAGAGGGGCAGAGGCTGAAGAAAGGTCACTCTGTAGGGCTGGACAGGCTCTGGAGCCCGAGGCCCTTCTCATTCTTTGATGACTATACCATCCTTACTTCCCATTAATGCCTCTGCCAGGCTTCGGAGGCCGAGGCATGGCCCAGTAGGCCTGGCTGGCTGGGCCTTCTGGGTGGAGGGTCAGAGCTTAGTGCTGGGCACGGGTGTGGCCAGCCCATCTGCTAAATGAAGAGGTCAGGGTCAGTGGCTGAGCCAGAACTAGCACCCAAACCCCTGCTCCTGGCCCGCGCAATAGGGCGGGGTTGGGCTGACCACGTGGCTGACCACTGCTTTGGTCCTTCAGGCAAAGGCCTGGTCCTGTCCACCGTGCTGGGCATCACCTTTGGCGCCTTCCTCATTGGGGCCCTGCTCACCGCGGCGCTCTGGTACATCTACTCGCACACGCGTGAGTATCCCAGGCCCCCACAGGGAACACCCAGGGCCCCCACCACCACCTGGGGCAGCCCGGCAAAGCCTCAGAGGGAGTGGGGAGCCCTGGCCGGGGCCCTGACCTCCGCCCCTGCCCCGCCCCCAGGTCCCCCCAGCAAGCGGGAGCCCGTGGTGGCGGTGGCTGCCCCGGCCTCCTCTGAGAGCAGCAGCACCAACCACAGCATCGGGAGCACCCAGAGCACCCCCTGCTCCACCAGCAGCATGGCGTAGCCCCCAGCCCGGAACCCTGGGCGCCCCCTGCCGGAGAGACTGAGCAGCCACCAGCTGGGAACCACTGGCCACCAACTCTCCCCAGGACCCCAGTGCCTCCACTCAACTGAGGACGGAGCATGCTCTCTGCACCGGCCCTGCCCGCCCCCCTCTCAGGGGCCTGCTGCCAGCGGGGGCACCGACTTGGAACACCATGGGGTCCCCCCACCCCATCCCACAGAACCTCCAAACCCAGGGGCTCTGCGACACAGCTGCCCAGGACCACAGAGGACGAGATCACCGCCTCATTCGTCCACACTGCTGACGGAAACTCCAGTCCCAGCCATTTAACCTGGCTGCTGCGCCGGCGAACTGTGCTGGGGCCCAGCCGCCCAGGCCAACAGCACCTCCACCAGGGGAAGGAAAAGGGGTCCACCCCAAGGCCACCTTGACCTGGTGCCCGTGGCCTCCACACCTGAACTGGTACAACTTTGGTGGGGGAAACAGAAGCCAAGAGGCGCCCGGTCTGAGAGTCCAGAGGGCAGCAAGAATAGTGGGGTGAGGGAGCCTAGCTCCCCCCACCACTGCCACATGGTGACCCCCTCCCGGCCACTGGACAGGCAGCAGGTGGAGAGTGGCCAGGCTGCTTGTCCTGGGCTCACCCCTGTATATTTACCATCAATAAATCAGACATGAAACCCGTGCTGGGCTGGGCTGGGCAAAGGGGAGGGGCCTCTGGAACAACGAGGAGTGGGCAGCGTAGAGCAGTGCTGCCCACTAGGATTAGGATGGCCTGGCATGGTGGCAAATGTGGCGTCTTGAGCAGTAGCAGGTGGCCAGGGCACAGCAGGTTTGATTGAAAGTCCCCTCTGCCACTCACTTGGTGGCACAGCCTTGGGATCGAGGCTTCGAGAAACCAAACACCAGGAGGTGCCATGCCACTTGCTCTGGGTTCAGGACACAAGCCCCCGACAACTCTGGGCTCTAACCCTGGATCCGCTGCTTACCGGCTGTGTGACTGTGGGCAGCTCCCCTAGCTTCTTGGAGCCAGCCAGTCCCTCATCAACAAACCGAGTACGCCTCCTAGTTCACATGGTCTTCACAAGGGCTACAAAGCAGTACCTGGCATGTGGCCCGTGAATGTCAGTCCAGGCTTCTCACAGACAGGCCACCTGAGGCTCAGAGGCAGAGAACTTAGGCCACTGACCCTGGGCTCCCTCTACACAATCTGGTTCCTACAGCAGCTACAGCCCCAGCCCCCTGGCATCTGATGAAGGAACAAGGTTTTTCCATTAAAAAAAAATTGACAGGCTTTAATTCACTCCAGCCATGCTCTTTCCCAGGGTGCCCAAGGCAGGGGTTCTCTCCTTCTCAAGAGGCCCTGGGAGAAGGAAAGATAGTGCCTAGCCCCAAGCAGAACCCTAAGCATGGCCAGGCAACTCACTCCATGAGCTGAGTCTGAGCCAGGAGGCAGGTTGGGTGGCAGGGAAATGGGCTGAGCTGCAGGCCTCCTACAACCGTTGGGGCCCTGGAAGCCCTGCTGTCCTGGCTGCAAGCAAGGTACAGGACCCCAGGGACAGGACATTCCCACTCCAACACCCACAGCCTGGGTTAGTCTCCGAATCAGGAAAGCAGAAATCAAAAGGCACCTGGTGTAAGTTCGTGGTGCTAAGCCGGGGCAGGTGTGGGAGGCTCCCACCCGCAACCCCACCACCTTGGCTACTGGGACAAGGAGGGCTCCAGCAGCTTCAGGACACCGCCCACAAGGTGCAGGCTGCCCGTGACCAGCACGTGGATCGCAGTAGCCTCGCGGAGCACACTGGCCCCGTTGCTTGCCGTGGGGTGGGCAAGGAGGCCCCTCGGGAGGCTGGGTGGCTGGAAGACGGGGTCCCGGCCTTGGCTGATCCACTGCAAGGCGTGGGAGATGCAGCTGAAGACCAGGGAGCTGGAGCTGCAGGGCTGCAGGCCGCGTGGGGCCAGCCGCAGGGGTGCCGGGCCGCCAGGCTCCAGGCTGGAGGGCCGCCAGAGGTCACGGCCGGCCTGCTCCTCATCCAGGCAGCTCCAGTGCTGCTGGTGTTCGAGGCAGCGGAGCAGCACCTGGTCCAACGTCACTGTGAAGTTCTGCTGGTCTGTGGGGTACAGAGCCAGGCATGTCAGTGAAGGGGACAGGGACGGGGAGCGGGGAATGAGACAGAAGAAAGGGGCAGGTATGCGGTGTGCACCTCAGTTTAGCATCAGGCTCAGTACACGGCACATCAACAGACTCTGCTGGTGGCCCCCACAGCAGACACGTGAGGAGGCGGAGGCTCGGGCCATTTCAACAACTTGCCTGAGGCCTGGGAGCCAGCCAGAGGCTCCCGCCCACTAAGCTCAGTCTCTCCCTGGGCCTCACCACCCTCCTGGGCAATGGATGTCTGGGAGGCCTGGTTAAAAAATACAGATTCCAGAACTCTCCCCAGCTTGACGCAGGGCCTGGGATCTGCACTTTTTACAACAGTATTTCAAACTATTTAAAAACATAATGCCCCTAACCCCCTGCCCACCATCAGGGACCACATCTTTCCCCTCTCACCTGCATTGTCTGTGGATGCCACCTCTGTCAGGTTGGGGCAGAAGACAGCATAGTCAAACTGGCAGGGCTTGAAGACCAAGGGAAAGACATGGTGTCACACTCCTGAGGGGACATCACCCACCCTGACCTCACATGCCACCCAAGCTCTCTCAAGGCACTGCCCCTCCCTGTACTAGAGTGACACTGCAGAAGCCCAGCCATGGCACCAGCCCTCTCCCCTCTGCTTCCAGGTACCTGTCTGGCCTCTGCGTTGGTGACAAGAGTACCACCTACTGCGCAGATGGGGGAGAGAGGATTGGGCAGAAACTTGCTTAAGGTCGCCCAGCTAGGGAGCAGGCCCCAAATCCAGAGGAAAGAGCAAGGTTCCTGGGTCTGTGAAATGGGAGATGATCCCTAACAGCCACTTCAGCCCTGATATGCTGGGGTCCCCAAACACAGGCGGTATCTTAGTGGCAACCCCATTTCATGGAGAGGCAAGTTGAGGCTCAGGAAAATGCCACTTCTTGTCCAGGGTCACATGCCAGTGACTAATGGGGCATGGCATGTGAGTGCAGAGCCTGCACCTTTAACCACCACATGGCCCTCCCTGAACCCTGGCCGAGTCCGAGTCCCCGGAGCGCCTCGCGTTTGCACTTGACCCTCAGTACAATTCAGGGGAAAGGGAACGGAGCTGAGGAGGTCCAGGTTCCCACAGCAGGGAGAACCAGGGCTGCTGGGCTGCCGGCCACCCCCCACCTGGCCCCTCACCTGCAGCAGCTTCAGTAGGGCTGCAGGGTCCCTGTCGCCAGTGGAGTTGAAGAGCAAGACCCGCACCTCAGGCCCACTGCACCAGGGGAAAGGAACCAGACCAGGGTCAGAACAGCACCTCCAGTCCCTTCTTTGTGGCCCTGCCCAAGGCCCCGCCCCTGCCGTCCTCACCGGCTGGGCCTCTCACTGCGCTGCAGGGCCTGGCGAAACCAACGCACGCAGGCCTGCACACTGCTGGTGGTGTGTGCCCCGTCCAGGTACCAGGTGAGGGGCCCTCGCCGCAGCACTTGCGTCCGGCCTGGCCACTCAGTGTCCCGAAGCCCTGGTAGAGGCAGGCAGTGCTCGGGATCCTCTCCTACCCTAGTCCTCAGCTCTGCGCGAACTCCAAGCACACTGTCCCCACAAGCTGCCACTGCTAAGGGGCATCAACCCAAGAGCTTCTTACGGGTGCTAGTTGTTGGGTTTGAGGCTTAGCCTGCCTCACCTGGTGGAACCTTCCAGGCCACCCTGAGAAGGGGCTGCCACCATACACTAGCTCCACCTGACAGCTGGAGAGCCCTGAGCTCTCAGTGCCAGGGCTGGGCTAGGCTGTGGTCCGAGATCTGTTCCAGCACTGTCACTAACCCCTGACAGCCAGCTGGGCACAGTGGGTATGCTGAAACCATCTGTTGTAGGGGTGTGACAGCATGAGCGCATAGGCGCTGAGGGCTTCTGGGAGGACAAGAAGCAGAGGGCCTGATGATGACAATGACAGGGACAGTAGCTACCACTGGCTGGGCACTTTTCCCACATCTTCCAGGCCCTGGGCTCAACACCTTACTGATGTCACCTCAGCAAATCCTCACAACAGGCCTAGCCGTGGGTCCTGTCATCGTCATTTGGCAGATGGGAAACTGGGGCTCAGACAGATTCGTGAACTCAAGGTCAGAGAGATACAGACCCTTAGGCACCCTCTCAAAGTGACCTCCCAAACAGGAAGCCAAAAGAGACATCTGAAGGGGCACAAAGACGCGTGGTGGTCCTGGCTAGGCAGGAAGGTCCGACTCACCGTGCCGCATGTGGGATGTGGGCTGGAACACAGGTGCCAGGGGCAGCGGCCATGGCACACTTGGCCTGGACACCTTCAGCTTCCTGACGTCTGTGGAATGTGTGAGGCCCACCATGCTCAGGACCCTCAGAGGCAGGCTCCCATGACTGCCCCCCACCTGCCCACTCGCCAGGCCACTCACCCTGGTGGTCCCGCCACTGCAGCCAGCAGTGCGCCAGCTGCAAAGCCAAGGCCGCGTTGGACCGCTGGTGCTCTCCCTCCAGGCCCAGGGTCAGTGGCCGCCCCCTTTCCTCCAGGGCTTCCAGTGGAGGGCACAGGTAGAGAGGACACTGCACGGAGATGGGCGGCAGGTGGTCAGCAGAGTTGCCACCACCACCTTGAGCAGAAAGCCCTCCCATGCCCATCTATCAGAGCCCACAGGGCCCTGCTCCAGAACCCAGAGATGTTCCAGGGGACAGCAGCTGCAGGGCTGGGCAGCTCCCACACTGCAGGGACAAGCACGCTGAGGTCCCCAGGAGAAAGAGCCTCTCCAGCCAGCCCAGACCCTCCCTGCCCACCGCCGCCCCATCCAGTCCCACTCACTGAGATCTGCTGGGCTCGATCCCTCAGCACAGCCAGGGGACCCTCTGGCTGGAGCACGGTGAAGGCAGGGACGCCATGCTGCATGGGCCAGGAAGAGTGAGATGGGCGGCCAGGGTCCTCCACCCTTCCCTCTCTGGCCCCCACAGATCTGGGTCTGAACCGCCACTCAGCCTCTCGTCCCTTGTGTTTCAATGGGGAGACTGAGGCCAGAGAAGGGCACAACCTGCTCCACACTGTGAAGGCAGGACAAGAACCCAGACCCTGCTCATGGCCAGGACCTTGTCCTGAGTCAGGACACAAAGGCCTGTCCCAGCCCCACTCCTCTGAACCTGGGGCCAGGGCCAGGCCCCCATGTACTTCCCTGCCCCCAGCCTGCCTGATCACCTTAAATATGCCCCCTTTCTGCCATGCAATCTTCTCCACTGTGTCCCCCAGAAGGCTGGTGTGGTCGATGCCGAGAGAGGACACTCCACACACCACAGGTTTCCTGCAGAAGATAAAAAGGTCAGGACGCTCCACCCTGAGCCACTGGGCAGCAGAAGGCCTGGTTCCTAGGCCCACTCAAGTCCATAGGCGCTGCCTTCACCTGATGATGTTGGTGCAGTCGTAAGCCCCGCCGATGCCCACCTCCACCACTGCCAGGTCCACCTGCAGAAAACCAGATGGCAATGGCAGGAGTAGCAGGTACACCGATGTCATCTAGAACCAGGAGTCCCAGCCTACTGAGGTCCTGTCCCCAATGCCTCAGATCCAGTGTTCTGGGAGTGGGCACACACCTTCTCTTGGAGAAAGACGTGGAAGGCCATGAGCGTGAGGAAGCGGAAGTAGGCGGGCATGGAGACACAGCTGCCATCCTGTGGCACAGAATCGCATTAGGGCCCGGGCCCCTACAGCCCCTGCTCTGGGATGATGGGGTCTTAGAATGTGCAGCACCCCCTACCCCACCCTGGCATGGGCACCTTGGTCTTCTCCAGCTGGTGATAGAGGTGCCAGAAGTGCTTGGTGAAGAGCTCAGGGCTGATGGGCTGCCCGTTGATGCGGATCCGCTCACGCACCTGCACCAGGTGGGGAGAGCTGCCGGGAGACGGGTCATCGGGATTCCCTTTCCAAGCCCCAGGGCCTTCCCCTGCCCTGCAGTCAAACTTGTCTTTGGAAAGACACACCTGACCAAGTCACTCCCCTGCTGAATATCCTCCCAAGGCTCCTGATGCCCTCAAGAGAGACCCAGCTCCTCGCACATCCTCTCAGGCCCTGCAGAGACTGATGTCCTGGTCTCTAGGCCTCACCTCTCACTGCCCCTGGGCTTCTCCCTGTGCCCCACTCCCTCTGGGCTGTTTTTGTCCCTCCAGCCACCATCTTCCCCTTTCTATCTCCAGGCCCTTGCACTGCACTCCCCACATCATGACCTGGCCCACCCTACATCACAGGTCTCAAGTAAGACACCCCCTTCAGAGGGAGGGAAAGGCCCCTCACTCTCATCATGGTCTAGCCTGTTCTGAGGGCTCCAAAAATCCCCTGCTCTCCCCATCACACACCAATCAGTCACTCTGCTAACACATGTCTGTCTTTCTGCCCTCAAGGACAAGGCCCATTCTTTCGTGTTTATGCCACATCTCTGGGTGGCCACAAAGACACATGGATCCAAGCCAAAAGTTAGGGCTTCTACCCAAAAATATTATTTTAGAAGACAGATCATTGCCTTATATGTAAGTGTCACATAACAACATTTTGGCCAACGGATGGAACACATAATCCTGTAAGATTACATCACGTAGTGATATCACATCTTAGTTGTGTAAGAACTGTTATGGCTTGGATCTGGAGTGTCCCCCCAAAAGCTAAGGTGTTGAAAACATGGTGCCCAGAACAGCAAGGTTCAGAAGTAGGGCTTTTAGGTAATGATAAAATCATGAGGGCTCTGACCTCATCAGTAGATTAATCCATTTACTGGATTAATCCACTGATAGGTGAATGGACTACTGGAAGGCAGGACCTAGTTGGAAGAAGTATATCAAGGGGTGTGCCTGGAGGGGTCTATCTTCTTCCTGCTCTTTCTCTCTCTCAGCTTCCTGGCTTCCAAGAGCTGACAGCTTTCCTACGCCTCACCCTTCTACCATGATGTTCTCCCTCGCTCAGGCCCAGAGCAATGAAGTTAGATGACTGTGAACTAAACCTTGAGTGAAAATAAACTTTTCCTTCTCTCAGTTGTTCTTGTCAGGTATTTTGGTCATACTGATGGAACACTGACTAACATAAGTCTACCCGTGATGTTTGTGCAACAAAACTGCCTAATGACATACTTCTCAGCACATCACTAAATGATGTGGCTGGATTTGAATTGCCAAATACCCTCTCATACTGAGCCCTTCTCTCCATTTCTTTTTTCCTTTCCGCCCCCACCCTCCCTCACTGTGGCATTGAGGATTGAATCCAGGGCCTTGCAGCTGACCTCACTCTGGTTCCACAGTCCCCCAGAGAGCTAGGAGACACAACCCTCCCAACTCAGTACCTAAAGAATCCTGTCTTCAGGCCATAATTCCGGAGGATATGTTCAGTGAAGGCACAGGTGGAGCCCTGGAAAGAAAAGGTGTTACGTGGACAGGCCCTACTCCACCAGCCTACCAAGTGGACACTGACCCATGGGTCCTGCCCCTCACCTTCCCCTTGGTCCCAGTGACATGTATGATATTCAGTTGGTCCAAGTCCTCCACCTGGAACAGAGAGATGAGGTCCCCACCTCAGCCACGGCATTCTCAGATTGGGGGTGGGGGTGTCAAGAGTAGTCAGAGGCTTTTCCTTCATTACCTGCAACCCACTCCGTGCCAGGTACACCTCCATGGCTTCCAGCTGTGTCTGTGGGTCACCCCGTTCACGCTTCACCTGCTCCAGGTAGCTGGCATTGGTCTGCAGGGTGTTGAGCATGCGCACGGCATCCTGGTAACCACAGTCCCCAGGTAGCAGATTAAGGTTCACTAAGGGTTCTTAGGGACACAGGCACCCAGCATACCAGTGACCAAGCCAGGGTACCAAGTCAGCCCTTCTGCCCCAGCCTATAGGTTAAGCAATGGGGAGAGAGCAGTGGCATCTTTCCAACTCTGGCAAAGATGGGAGCTTGCGGCAGTTCAACCCCACCCAGGGAGTGCCAGGCAGAGAGGGCGGCAAGACTAACGGAACCAGCTTTGCTTCCTGCTCTGGCTCCCAGGACCTTATCCACTGGGTCTTCACCCTCATACTTGGCCCTCATGAGGCTTGGCCCTCATTCCCTCCACCACCACACTGGCTCCTACTAGGCTCAGGCCAGAACCACATGCTAGGATCTTAGAATTCTGGAACTCCTGGAGGAGTTAGATTCTACATCTAATCCTGGGGACTCTGGGGTTCCACATTCTGACCCAGAGCACAGCTGCCTGAAGCAACCAGGTGGAGAAGAGCAGGGTCTTCCATCAGAAGGGCCAGGTAGATCCCACCTCTGGAGAAGCCACAGGGCATGGGGAGTAGGGGTGCTGTTTATTTCCCCTCAGGCCTCAGATCCGTGACTCTTGCCCTCGAGGCTTCGTGGGTAGGATGGAGGCCTCATTCCCCTCAAACCAGTGCCACCAGCCTGCCTGGCCTCAGGTTCTGGTCTCTGGTCACCAGGTCCTGGCACAGCACCCGCACATGTTTTCTGTGTTCCTGATTCTTGGGCCCTCCACGGCCCCTGATTCCTGCTCGCCCACCATTCCAGGCCCTTGGGTCCCTAATTTTCTGAATCCCGGAGACAGCGCCCCCATACTCCCGAATTCCGTCCCCCAGCGCCCCCAGCACTGATGGCGCAGACTCGGGGGGTGCTGTTATTCCTGAGACCAATTGTGCCTCTGGATCTCGATCTTATCACCAACGTCCCTTCCCTCTCTACCGCGGGACACTAACAGCCTAAGAATTCCCAAATCCGGGGACCAGAGCCCAACTTCCTGTTCCCTGTCCCCGCCCCCGGAGTCCCCCGTCCCAAGCTGCCGGTTTCCCCAAAGCTGGCGGAGTCCGGCCCACGTGTCACTGCGCCACCGCCCCCCGCCGGCCCCCCAGCTACCTGATACTCCATGCCGGGCTCCTGCGGCGCAGGCCGCGCGCTCAACTCCCGCCGCGCCGCGCCCTCGGGCGTTGCACCACGCGCAGGCACAGCTGCCAGGGACAGAGCCGCGCGCAGGTGGCTCCGCGCCCACCACATAGTCCCGGTGCGCGGGAGAGCTAGGCCGGGCGGGAAACGCCCGCCCCGCCCTGACGCGCCCCTGCCCTCGGCCAATCAGCGCCGCCCAAGACCTCCTCTGCACCAATAGGAATCGGCGCCTTCCCCTGAGCCGTCCTGGAGGGGGGGCAGGACCCCGAGCGCCCGGCAGCTCCGAGTGCTTCCGAGGCGCTCTCCCCTCGCGGCCTTTCGTTTAAAGGGATATGCACTCCTTTAGTCACCACCCTCCTTAGGACCCTGCCGCACGTCCCAAAATAGTCAGTCCCTGTCAGCAGCCCTCAGCCCCTGCTCCCGGCCCGGATCGAGTGACAGAGCTGGCGGACACCTTGTGGAGGTCACCGAATTCCGATCCCGAAAAGCCCCGACTCGGGGCAGGCACCGGGGATGCGACCTCTGGCCTCGGGAATGTGACAATCAAAGCCCGGGCTTCTACCCTCTCGGAGCCCCTAACCGACCCTGAGGGGCTTGGGAAGGCTTCCTGGAGGAAGCGACGTCCCAGCTGAAGCCTATGGGGTGTGGGGAGAGACTGCCAGGCAAAGAGGGGAGCCGTGTGTGAAAAGCAAAGATCAAAGAGAAAACTGGGCGCTTTCACCTGGCTGCTCCCAGTACCGGGACGCCGGATTTACTGCGGAGTCTCAGCGCCATAAAGAATTTGGATTAAATTTGATGGCATTAAAATGGTTTTATGGAGGAAGGACATGATCGGATTGTACTTGGGAAGCGCCCTGGGGCTGTGTTACTGTATGGAGAATGGATTTGAGGGGCATGGGGGAGGGGGTTAAGCTGTAATGAGGAGGCTCCCCATTTGTGCTAGCATGAAAAAGTGTCTTGGTGAGGTCCTTATGACAGCTGAGGCTCAGAAAGGGAGAGGGGGTGCTGCACTAGGGAAAATCCCTGGATAAAAGGCCATCCTTCAAATTACTGATGGGATCTCCTCGGTACCGCTGTCCTCTCTCCCTCTTTCCTGCATTGGGGTAAATATTTATCAGAAACTGATTTGAAATAAGCAAGTGATATTGGGGAAGAGTCCATCATTAGCTGGACTTCTGCTCTTGGCACACTGCTGGCACCCCCAGGTCTCTGTGGAGAGAGGTGCTTTCCTATCTTAGTTTCCTTCTTGTTTAATCATTGAAACTTTATACATATACATGCATATTATTTAGTAGTTGTATAAACATAATAAGATTTAAGCGCTTTTCTTTTGCTTATCTGTCCCCCAAACAGACACTTCCTTCTTGAGTAATCCCAACTGACAGCCAAGCATGTGCATCCCATAATTTTCTATGCTCTTGAAATCACAAACACACTAGATATTTTTAGGACCTTGATGCAATATTTTGATTCCTCTTAATTTTCTTATTCAACAATAATCTTATAGGGAATCTTCTAGACATGTATTGGACCAGAACGTGCTCTAAACACCATGGACCCAATTGCTCATTCCATCCTCAGATCAACCCTATAACACAAATCCTAGCATCTTCATCATCCTTGCTACACAGGTGAGGAAACAGAGGCACAAGAAGTATAGTCACTTGCTCAAGTGACAAAATCAAGATTTGAATTCTGGCCCCAGGCTTCCAAGGACCAGAAATTATTCTCAGTCTCTATACCTCTCTCCCCTGCCTCTCTGGGGACACTGCAAGTTCAGTGTCTTTAATGGCTGTCTGGCCTTCCTAGGAGCACCCGCAACTTGGCCGAGGAGAGCATTCCCTCTGTGGTCGGGGCTTTGAAGCTATGGCTAGGCATCTGCATCCAGACACTTTTTTCCCTAAGAGTCAGATTGCATGGAATGGGAGTGTTGGGTCCAGGATGTTTGCATTGCTTTCCCCCAATGTAGGAACCTGCATCCCACCAGCTGTGTGTGAGGAGGATCCCAGGCCACTGGGTGGAGAGCAACCTCATGGTTTCCCTGTATTTCCCTGGCTGTAATGAACTTGAGCATCTTTTGATGTGTCTATTTCAGTAAATGGCCTCACTCATCTTTGGCCCTTTTTCCTTTTTATTTTTTTTTATTTTTATTTTTTTTTTTTATATTTATTTTTTAGGCAGACACAACATCTTTGTTTGTATGTGGTGCTGAGGATCGAACCCGGGCTGCACGCATGCCAGGCGAGCGCGCTACCGCTTGAGCCACATCCCCAACCCTCCTTTTTATTTTTTTAATTTTAATTTTTTTTTTTTAGTTGTTGATGGACCTTTATGTTGTATTCATATGTGGTGCTGAGAATTGAAACCAATGCCTCACACATACCAGGCAAGTGCGTTACCACTGAGCCACAGCCCCTGGCCCTTTTTTCCAACATCTGTCAATTATAAAAACATTTACTGGATCCAACATAGTAAAGAACACCTGTAATCCCAGCAATCCCAGGGATTTTGAGGCAGAAGAATAGCAAGTCAAGGTCAGTCTCAAGCAACATAATGAGATCCTATCTCAAAACAAACAAACAAACAAAATATATAAGGGTCCTGATTGTAGCTCAGTGATAGAGCACTTGTCTAACATGTGTGCTGGGTTCAATCCTTAGTACAGCAAAAACTAAATGAATAAGTAAGTAAAATCACAGATATTAGTGTCAGTTCTGTCCTCTGTAAGGCAAGTATTTTTTGTAGAACTACAAAGTCTGAAGGAGGTGACATTGAACCTTTAGACCATTCCTCCAAGAATGAGATGCTAGGAACAGATGTCCTCTTCTGTGGCAAGGTAGAAGTTCCCCCTTGTCAACATTCCTTCATTCCTTTCCTTTTTCTTTTCTTTCTTTCTTTCTTTCTTTTTTAGGGATTGAACACAGGGGTACTATACCACTGAGCCACATCCTCAGCCCTTTAAAAAATTAAAAAAAATTTTTTTTAGTTGTAAATGGACACTATACCTTTATTTTATTTATTTATTTTTATGTGATGCTGAGTATCAAATCCAGTGCCTATGTGTTTAGGCAAGCACTTTACCACTGAACTACAACCCCAGCCCACTTTTTTTTATTTTTTATTTATTTTTTAATTTTTTTATCGCTTGTCTAGCACTGAGGCTTATCTCCAACTTGCAATCCTCCTGCCTCAGCCTCCCAAGTCACTGAGATTACAGGTGCACAGCATCATACCCTCTCTACATTCCCAACTCTGATGTTCAATTTCTTTTCCCTCTGCCTTGAGCAAAGTCTGGATCAGGGCTTCTCTAGAGCAGGTGAATTTACAGAGCCAATGATTTGACTCCTTGAGCTACAGATCTCAGCCCTGCTTGGAAACAAGTAGACATAGGGGACAAGAAACAGCACTGAAAATTCTAGAGATCCAAACTGATCATCCCAGTTTTTCAGGGAAATTAAGTGAAGGCCAAGGCCTTGGGCAGGTAGGTCGCCTGTCCTGTGAACCCCTGTATCCCATAGTTTCTGAGAATGAGTTTCAGAGTGATGCTTGGAATTTTGTTTGTGCCGTACTGGGGATTGAACCTTGGGTTTTAATTTTGAGACAGTGCCTTGATAAGTTGCCCAGGCTGGCCTCAAACTTGTGATCCTCCTACCTCAGCCTCCCAAGTTGCTGGGATTATAGGTGTGCACCACTTGCCCAGCAATGCTGAGAAACATTCAAGTGTCAAAATTTAAGGGTGAGAAGTGGAGTAGAATGGATTTCTATTCTTTTCCTTATTAACTTTTTATTTTGTATTTCAGTTCTAATAATTTTGCAGTATAACACATCATATCAAACAAAGTTCCAGAAAGGTGTACAAAAGAAAAACGCCTCCTCCCCAGGAGCCCAAGTGCTTGCATCCTGATTCCTTCCCCAAAAGCAATCAGTTATCAGTCTTGTGATCTTTCCAGAGATATTTTATGCATTTACAAGCAATTAAAAATATGTTAATTTTCCTTTTATGCTCATATATAGCATCAGGCTATGTATAGGTGAGTCTGCACTGTACTTATTCCATAACACCCCCCCTTTTTTTTTGGTATCAGGAATTGAACCTGGGGAACTTAATTACTGAGCTACATCCCCAGCCCATTTTAGTTGTTGATGGATCTTTATTTATATTTGGTGCTGAGAATTGAACCCAGTGCCTCACACATGCCAGGCAAGTGCTCTACCTCTGAGCCACAGTCCAGCCCCCCAGCCCATTTTTATTTTTCAGTTTGAGACAGTCTCATAAATTCCTTAGGGCCTTGCAAAATTGCTGAGGCTGGCCTTGAACTTGTGATCCTCCTGATCTGCTGGGAATACAAGTGTGGGCTACTATGCTCGGCCCATAACCCCTTTTTCCCCTTCCTTTCATGGTGCTGGGATCATGCTAGGCAAGTGCTCTCTTGCTGAGCTACATCCCTAGCCCTCTACAACCCTTATCCAGGACCTCATTTTTTTTTTTTTTGGTAGTTAGGGTACAAGGGGTTGAACTCAGGGGCACTCAACCACTGAGTCACATTTCATTTAGAGACAGGGTCTCACTGAGTTGACTGAGTTGCTCAGTGCCTTGTGTTGCTGAGGCTAACTTCTGCCTCAGCCTCCTGCGCTGCTGGGATTAGAGGCACACATCACCACACCTGGGGAGGGTCTCATTGTGAACTGTGTTAGTATACAAGAGCTACCTCGCTGACTGATTTGTGTTTCTGAAGCCACCAGTTTTCCATGGTGTGGAAATACTATTGCATGTCCTGCTGGTCCCCCATGAGTGGATGCTCAGGTTATTTTCAATGTTTTGCCATCAAGGGTTCAGCACATAACTTTACCCTCATTGTTTCTTGCAACCAAAGGATCAGTTCCAAGAAGCTGGGTCAAAGGTTATTGTACTTGACATTTCTATACACAGTGCCACATTATCCTCTTGAGAGTGGTGTGCCCCTCTGGCAGGGTACAAGCCAGCAGTTTCCTCACATCCTATTGACACAGACTGTGCTTACCAATGGAATGGTAAGGAGGGGTGGTACCAGGGACGGAACCAGGGATGCTTAACCACTCGGCCACATCCCCAGCCCTTTTTATTTTTTATTTAGAGACAGGGTCTTGCTAAATTGCTGAGGCTGGCTTTGAACTTTTGATCCTCCTGCCTCAGCCTCCCAAGCCTCTGGGATTACAGGCGTGTGCCACTGTGCCACTGCACTGTGCCCCAGTTCATTTTTGAGACAGGATCTCACTAAACTACCCAGGGTGGCCTTGAACTTGCAATCCATTGCCTCAGCCTCCCAAGTAGACGAGATTATAGACACGTGCCACATGCCTGGCTTCTTTGTAACTTTTGGATTTTGAACTATGTGGTGGTATTGCCATTTCAAAATAAACTTTAAAAGAGTGTTATCGCTTGCCTAGCATGCGTGAGGCACTAGGTTCGATTCTCAGCACCACATACAAATAAATAAAATAAAGGTCCATCAACAACTAAAAAAACAAAAAAGAAGAAGAATGTCATGAGCAGGGCATGGTGGCACATGCCTGTAATTCCAGCAATTTGGGATCAGGCTGGGCAATTTAGCTAGACCCTGCCTAAAAAAAAAAAAAGGGGGTGGGGGTGGTGGCTGGGGTTGTGGCTCAGCAGTATAGCACTCACCTAGCACATGCGAGGTGCTGCGTTTGATCCTCAGCACCACATAAAAATAAATAAATAAGATATTGTATCAAACTACAACTAAAAAAATAATATTTAAAGAAAGGCTGGGGAGTTAGCTCAGTGGTCAAGAGCCCCCTGGACTTACTTCCCATAATGCAAAAAAAAAAAAAAAAAAAAAAAAAGAGAAAAAAGAAAGAAAGAAAAAAAAAAAAACATGAAAAGTGTAATGAATTATGATTTAAAAATGTTGGAGCCTGGTAACATAGTTCAGTGGTAGAGCACGTGTCTAGCATATGCAAGGCATTGGGTTCAATCCCCAACAACAACAAAACAAAACATTGTTCATAGAGCAAGCCTAGTGATAACTAGTATGGATATTACTGTTTAAAATAATTATAATTTGGGGATGGGGATGTGGCTCAAGCGGTAGCACGCTCGCCTGACATGCGTGCGGCCCGGGTTCGATCCTCAGCACCACATACAAACAAAGATGTTGTGTCCACTGATAACTAAAAAATAAACATTAAAATTCTCTCTCTCTCTCCCTCTCTCTTTAAAAAAATAAAATAAAATAATTATGATTTAGGAAACAGCCGGGAAGTATTCTCTAAAAGCTGACAGTGATTAGCTCTGGGTAGTAAGACTAGAGATGACTACTTTTTTTTGTGCTCCCTTTGTCCAAGTACCAAAAAAAAAACAAACCATCTCTCAGGTCTCCTCCATGCCAGGTGCTAAACCTTAGCACAACACCCCCATTTTATAGGTGAGGAAACAAAACCAGAGAGGAATCACCTGCTAAAATCACAGCTGGCAAGTGGCAGAGCAAAGATTCAGCTTAAATCCAGCTCTGGTTGATTTTGGTGGGTCCTGATCCCAGTCCTCTAATCAAGCTGGGGCTCCCTGGCTACTGTTATTTATTTATTTTTTAAGATTTCTTTTTTAGTTGTAGATGGACACAATACATTTATTTATTTTTTTATGTGGTGCTGAGGATTGCACCCAGTGTCTCAAGCATGCGAGGCAAGCGACCCACCACTGAGCCACCACCCCAACCCCTCCCTGGCTACTGTTTTTAATTTGAGTTCTCTCTGGATTGCACTGGGCTGAGACTGTCAAACCCATCAATTCATTTAATCCTCATGCTGTCTCTTGGGAAGGGTGTATTCTGAGATCCATTTCTCAGGGCAGACAAAAAGGGCCTAATAGCAAGAGTGGCTTAGTCACTTAGAGAATCTGTAAATCAGGCCCCAAGCTCCACCCCCAGGTCAATCCTGGTCCCTGCTCCCATCTGGCCTGTGCCTTGGAAGGTGACTAGGGTCACCTGTCAAAAGGGTCTTGAGCTGGCTTTTACTTGAGGGAGACCCCTGGCTGGTGAGAAGCCCCAGGAAACACCACTGCTTCCAAGCCCCCGGGTGCATCCTCAGTTCTCCCTTCCTGGCTGAGGGAGGCAGAGCCCTAGAGCCAAGAATGATCCATCATGTGTCCCTGGGTGTCAGTTCACCTCTCCTCTACAGTGAGGAGGTATGGATGGCCGCAGATGGCTCCACTCCCAAACCCTGGCCATCTGGGCTGCCCCTCCTCCACTGCCCCTTTGGGGGATGCTGGGTGAGCCCCAACACTGCAGTTCACAGCCAGAGCTTCACTTTGGGTTGCAGCCCTGAGAGGAAACAGGTGCTCTCTCACCGGTCCCCTCCTACCCAGGAGAAAGAGGCTGGGTGAGCTGTCTGGTGTCAGGATATGAATTCTGACCTCCCCTGGGAGGCCCCCGAAGCCCAGCCTGAGCTTCCAGCTGAGCAGAAAGTCCAAGGGTGGCTGTCCAGCTCCCATCCCAGGCGCCTCGTCTCAGAGCCCCAGACCCCCATGTGTCAAGCCATCCCCACCTCCAAGGACTGCACTGAGGCTGGATAAGGAGGCACAGAGCCCAGAGAACAGCGCCAGGGCTGTGCCCTTGGGCCCAGCAAAGTCCAGTAATCTCCAAATGGCCTGACCTCCTCGTCAAAAAGCACAGGAAATAATGGCCCCACTCTCCAGAAACCTTTCCCTCAAGTTTCCCCAAGCACATTTTAGCTGTCCCCACTGTCCAGCCAAGGCCCCCCGCCCCCCGCCTGCAGTTGTTGAACCCCTGAGCGATATTTACACCCACCATCCACGGGAGGCACGCCAGCAAGGGGAGGTGCCTTGCCCAGGTCACTGCTCGCCTACCTGGAAGGAGGCAGTTTTGACTGCTGAAGGACCCCCAGATGGGCTCTGCCACTCCATGCTCACTTCCCACCAGAACTTCTCAGCCATCGGCCAAGACACAGGCAGGAACCTGGCACCTGTCATCCCTTGGTTTCCTGCTCTCCTCCCAGAGTGGGGGGTACTCACAGGTATAAGCCCTCTGCCAGGCCACCCCCGCAGGGCGGCAGCAGGGACTGTGAGCCCAGCTAAGCCAGAGGGGAGGGCAAGCTGGGAGACTCTCAAGGCCTCCCCTGTCCTGATGGGCCTGGGACAGAAGTTCTGGCCTTTCCAGCCTGCAGGGAGGGGTTCCTGCCCTGATCCTGGAATCAGTCCAGGGACATCCCAGCAGGGACTGGCTGGTTTCCTGACTGCAGAATCTCAGTTAAATAACAACTGGGCAGAGGTTAAAGGTGAGCAGCAGGAGGAGGGGAGGTGGGTGGGGAGAGATGAGGGCGGGAAGGTTGGTCTATCTGGGAGACCTCCAGACCTTGGCGTGGAGCTGGGCTCTGTCCTGCCTCTCTTCCTTGTCACAGCTCACCTCCTCTTTGTGAGGGCCCATTTTGCTCTGGCCCTGCCAGGCTAGGATGGGACACAGGTCCAGCAAGGATACAGGGTGCCCCTGACTTAACAGACCAAGTCAACTGGAGGAGTCCTTGTTCCACTATGTTGGTCCAAAAATGCCAGAACACAAAACTCAGTCCCAGCCTGCAGGGCATGGTGACATTAAGAGCACCTGCAAGTGATACTTGTACACAATGGAATATAACTCAGCCATAAAGAAGAATGAAATTATGGCATTTGCTGATAAATGGATGGAACTGGAGACTATCATGCTAAGTGAAATAATCCAATCCCCCAAAACCAAAGGTGTCTCTGATATGCAGATAGTGACTCACAATCAGCAGATGAGTGTGGGGGGGAGGTTCACTGGATTGGAGGGGGGAGTTGGGGGAAGGGAGGGGGATAGGAATGGGAAAGACAGCAGAATGAATCGGATATCACTTTCCTGTGTTCATATATGAACATGTGACCACTGTAACTCCACTCCATGTACAAGAATCGGAAGTTATACTCCAATGTCAAAATACAATCCACAGTCATGTATAACTAAAAAAATAAAAATTTTAAAAATAATATTTTATTATCCTTAAGCAAAAAATAAAGAGCACCTGCAAATGAGCTGGCAAAAAGCCTTCACAGCCAGCCACCTCCCAGCAAGCTGCAGGAGAGCAGCTGTGTGCTGGAACCAGAGAATAGCCCCAGGAGGCACCGAGGAGGGCACACTTGTATTCTGAGTCACACATCTCCCTCTACAGATGGGGGCAGCACCCGTGTCATATGCCATACCAGTGTCTGGGCTCCGGCAGCCCCAGCTCCTCCCTGAGGTGGACCCTGGGGAGAAGGACTGGGAGAGAACTTGGAGCCAGCAGCTCCAGGGCTCAGGGCCTACTGTTTAAAATACGGTTTATTGCCAGAGTGAAAACACTAACAGACACCGGAGGGCAGAACCACCTGTCCCCACCTGCAATTCTATCACCCGACCCCCCAGTTCCCTTGGGATTTCTGCTCCCATGTTACTCTGACCCGTTGCCCCAATCCTTTTCCCTCCTCCTCCACTATTTTGTTCTCCACAGAATTTACTCCATCAGACTAGTTTGGACCCGTAAGAATGCGAGTTCCACAGGTGGGAACTGCTTTATTCTCGGCAGTTATCAAGTTTGGAAGCGTCTGGTCCTTGGAAGGACCTTCATGAAGGATGTCAACTCTACTGTGGTAGAGAGAGTGGAGATGAAAGAGCAGTACTGTGCAATGGCCAGAAGAAACGGATCTCTCCAGGTGCAATTGCTGGGTCAACCTGAACCCTGGGCCTGGGGGTGTAACTCAGTGTGGAGCACTTGCCCAGCTGAGCAGCCCCAAGTTCCATCCTCAGCACAACAAAGGGGGTGTGTGGGGGGCTTTTAAAGAAGGCTTTTATCCTTTATAGAAAACATTTTGAATTGGGCCAGCCCTTTTTCTGTTATCTAAAATCCAAAACAGGTCAACAGCCATTAAGAGGGTTTTTGTAAAAAAAAAAAAAAAAAAAAAAGTTTTTGTAGATATAATTGAAGTAAGGTCACACCATTATCAATGTGGGTCCTAAATCTGATGACTAAGGTCCTCAAGAGAGACAGAAAGAAGGAAGAAAATGCCACATTCATATGAAGATGAGGAAAAGGTTAGAACAATACATTTAAAAGCTGGAGTACCAGGCACAGTGGTGCACCATTCCAGGAGGCTGAGGCAGGAGGATCTCAAGTTCAAGGCAGTCTCAACAATTCAGCAAGACCCTCTCACAAAATATAAAACATAAAAAGGGTTGGGGATGTAGCTCAGTGGCAAAGCAACCTGGATTCCATCCCAGGTACCAAAAATAACAAACAAACAAGCCAGAATGCACTAAGGACTGTGGCAGCCACCAGGGGCTGGGGGGCCTCAAAGAGTCTCCCAAAGGAACAAACCTGCAAACACATAGCTTTTGGGCATCTAGCCTCCAGAATCAACAGGATGAGCTTGTTCCTTTAAGCTAGTGTGTTCATGGTATTTGTTACAGCAGTTTTAAGAAAACTTACAGGAGTCTGCTGGTACCTGCAGCTCCTCAAAGGACCCCAGCCCAGCCCTCACATCCTCATGTTCACATGAACTATTTTTTCCCTCCTGTCCACCCACCATCCAGATTCATGCGACTGCCACCTCCCCATGGCCAGTGACCGTGATCCTTTCACCCCGGGTCACTTTCTCTGAGCCCTCCTTCACCCAGCAGTGCAAAGAACCTCTGCAAGTTACAGACCTAATGGTCGTTCCAGATCCTCCTGCAGCCCTGTGTTCCTGGGTCAGTCTGAACGTACCCGTCACCTGCCACAGATGGGTCTCTGATCACCATTGCAGATGTGGCTCCCAGGAGACCCTCACCAGGGCTCCTCCCTCCAGCACCCAGCAGAGGAGCAGGGGGCCCATGGTGCGTGCCCTTAGGTACCTGACTACACAGTCTAGGAGGCACCCAGGAAGGAAATGGCAAGGCCCAAATCCTCCGTGACTATATGAGGAGACATGAATGGGGACAAATAACAGAGTCAAGACTTTCAGCAACTTGACAAATCAAACCCTAACCGCTGGGCCAGCCAAGGGTCTGAATGCAGAAAACACACGCCACTTACTGGAAAAAAAAAAAGAAGGGTCAACTTTTAATTGTAACTGATCGGCCTGCATCCAGGAATGTCTCTGAACAACTCAACAAAGAAACACGATAAAATTCTCCTACTGAAGAAACCAAGAGTTTTTGCTGCCCTCAGTGCCCCGAGGGCCAGGCCAAGAGCAGGCTGTTCCCGAGGCAGCTCCGTTCCCCTCGCCAGTTTCTCATCCCAAGAGGAGGGCTGGGGATGTGAGAGACTGTCCCCTCCTCCCACCATGCTGGGAGCTCTTAGAAAGTCACCATTCGAGGCTCACTGGCCCCACTTCCTGTCTTGGGGTACATGGGAGACCCTCCCAGCACCATCCAGAAATCCAGAACAGGGCAAGGCAATCAGGCAGCCCCTGTGCCCGCCTTGCCCTTTGGCAAGAAGCCCTCCAGTCCACTCGCTGGTTGTTCCCAGTACCCAGGGTGGAGACTAAATAAAATGTGCGCTAGAGAAAACAACCTCAAATGCCCATCATCTCCACCACGCGAGTCATAAAGCAGAGAAAAAAGAAAACAGCGGCCCCGCCCTCAGAAGACGCGCTCAAACTCCGTCTGGTTGGTGGTGGCGGGATTGCGGCTCTGATTGGTGGACTGCTGGGTGATCTGGCTGCCCTTCCGGCGTGGTGGCGCCAGGTATTCAAACATAGACGTCAGGTGGGTGGACAGCATGCCCTTGAGGTCTGAGGGCATGGGGTCGGACCAGAAGAAGTCATGGTTGAGGGCGTCGTCGCTGTCGATGCGCTGTGCGGGATCCAGAACCAGCAGCTTATCGATGAGGTCCAGCGCATAGGGGTCCCGGACGTAGGCCTTCAGCCTGTCCTTCACCTTCCGCTTCTGGCCCTTGACCAGCTCCAGCTTCTCAAACAGCTCATATTTGTCTACATTTGGCCACACCTGGGGGGCAGGAGTTGAGAAAGGACGGAGTGGGGTCAGGGGCAGGGTTCGGGGGCAAAACAACCCAGACACTCCCAGATAACCTTTGAGGGAGAACTGGAGCCCTCCAAGATGAAGGCAGCAGTGCCACCAAGGATGTGGCACACACCAAGGGCCTGGCCCTTTGGCACAAGTCATCTGAAATACCTGTGCCAACCCTAACATGGGCATACTTCTGTTTTTCAGAGAAAACAAAACAAAAACAAAAACCCAGCACTAACTCAAACGCCTTGGCAGAGGAAGGCTCTGCAGAGCAGGCCCCAGCCCTCCACCAGCCACTCTCTGGAGAAGAGCTTTCCTGATCCCACTCCCCAGTTCCTCTGCCAAGGAGACCTGGATCTCCCCACCCCACAGGTACCAGGGGCCCATTCAGCTTAGCCACAAACCTCAGGGGTGATGGAACCACAGAGCTGGCTGATGAGGGCAAGCTGGTGCTGCTCCGTGTTGCCCTGCATGATAGGGCTGCGGGTCCACATCTCTGCCATGATGCACCCAGCACCCCACAGGTCAATGGGCGGGCCGTAGTCCCGCTCCCCTGGGAAGAAGAGCGTACCAGGAGGGCCCGTTGAGCCCAAGGGCCTCCTGAGACTCGATGCCCCAGGGCCGGTGGCTCAAGAAGCCCTGGCAGTAAGGGGCTGTGCCGGGTAGGTGCCCGGCCCCTGCCCCCCTGCCCGCTCGGGAATTCTCACCGAGCAACAGCTCCGGAGGCCGGTACCAGAGCGTCACCACACGGTTGGTATAGCGGTTGGGCTGGCTGTTCTTGGCCAGACTGAAAGCCCGAGCCAACCCAAAGTCTGCCAGCTTCAGGACCCCATCTCGGGTAATGAGCACATTGGCAGCTTTCATATCCCTGTGCAGGATCTGGAAGGAGGATGAGAGTGAAGGTCCTTCAGTCACACCCACACAGCAACGTGGTCAGCTTATGCCTCGGTCTCTCCTCCCACCTCTGGTGCCCACCTTGTTCCTGTGGATATAGTAGAGGCCATTGAGCAGCATCTGCATCACCCTCTTGATCTCTGATAGTGTAAACTTGACTAGGACATTGCTTAGCAACCCAGCAAGGTCATGCTCACAGAAGTCGAACACCAGGTATATACTGCCCTTGCAGCGGTTATAGGGGGAAGCTGAGGCAGAAAGGGCAGGAAGGAAAAAAAAGTAAAAAATCTGTACCCAACTCACTCTCCTGCCACCAGCTCCCACCCCTTC